GCACCCCCCCCGACTGAAAAACCGAAAATATTTTGGTGATCGCACAACCTCTCTGATTGAAAGCTGGCTGCGCCCCTGACAGGGATGAGGACTTGAATCCAGGAAAGTACACTAGTTCGTCTAAATAATGATCAGCATCTAGAATACGTATGGGGTATGATAGCACAATGAACATGCTTTTGAATATTCCATGAGAATTTATTAAGGCATGGCCACGGTATATTGTCAGGACATTGCCAAATTTGAATCTATCATTACAAATTACATTCATACATTACAGTTTTGTTGGATACATGCAATAAGTTATAGACATCCCTTTCTTCAATGAAACGTAAACTTCCTCAATACTTATTTGTATGACTTAATGTACAGGGACTTGTTTTCCTTAGACATGTCCATGATTTTAATTTGATCTAATATGCAGTATAAGAGTACGTTTATTTTCACAGTTTCACATCTCATAACGAAATGCAGTTCATCTTTAACAAAATTATCTGAACATTTTATGTATCATGTGGATTTTCTGCTTTAATTTCATCGGGCCTCTAATGTATGGTCTGTCTCAGCTTTGTTTTGTATTTTCGGTAATTATATATTTTTCAAGATACACATTATATTTTACTTTATATAGGCTCTTATTTTACTTATTTAGTATCCAGTGTAAAGCACAATTCTGATTATTGAACCCATGGGCTTTCTAGTAGTTGAAAGCCCATGATTGAACTGAATGATAATTTTACTTGGGTCTGATAGTCTCCGGGAGAGATTTAATCATAATATCAAATGAAACGTGAAACCAAAACACTCTTAGAAAGTACACCAATGCATGAATTCCGGGATGTATTCCGTTTTTCAAAACTTTTCGAAAATTCAAGTAGCATAAGGCACAACCAAACGTTAAAACGCAATCCCCATCAAAAATACCTGAATTATCAGAACGTGATGATTAAAAGTCGTTTCAATGCTTTTGAATGCATCACAATGATGTAATTAATCAGTCAAATTCTCAGAATGATGATTGAAATTGCTATAAATTGGTGAATTGTCTAAAACAGTTATCTTATATTCACGAATTCTTGACCCAGATTTCTCATTATGTATTTCAATGGAGGTAACGCAATTACTGTTATTAGAGCGTTTCCCAAGTTAGAAAGCTGCTATTTCGAACAGGTAATTAATGCTTTGGTGTATTTCTATTGTTTTATTATTGTTTTGTTGTGTTGTTCAATGTGATTCGATCGCACTAAACAGGAAAACATTCTGGAATTTTACGATCTTGAGAACAAAATGGCGGCCAATCAAAATAAAGTGTGTTTGTTACCCAAATTCAATGATTAATTTCGACTCGTTATTTAAGCATAATGTTTCTGAATTAGGTTTAGGCTTATAACATATATGTTGGAAATATTGTTTATAAATAAAAGTTAATACATTTCTGTCAATTTCGTTGCGATAAACACTTACGAAGTAGAATTTCGAAGAATTTTTATTCAACAAATGACATTCAAACAGTAAAATTCGCATTAAGCAACTAATGCAGTGTATCAACTATTATTTTGCGATAAAATATAGTACCATGACTTTCTATATAGTTCAACAAATCATATATATTAATGCCAATTAGTATAGAAATTAATGTTTAGAAAATATCGACAAGCACACTTTGAAAATCACAGCAGACATTTTGATTCTTATTCAGTAAAACCGGAAGTTTGTTCTCTAACGTCCGCGCGATTTGTATAAATCTACAAACCCTTCGTCATAGTTTCATACGTTCGTTTTATCTGATCAGAGTACTTCGGAGACATTCGACCTACACATAACAATGGCAGACACAGCAGCAAAGAAGGCAGCAAAGCCAAAGAAGGTTTCCAACCATCCCAAATACAGCGAGATGATCCAGCAAGCGATTACTTCATTGAAAGATCGTACAGGATCCAGCCGAGTTGCAATCCTGAAATACATCCAGTCCAACTTCAAGGACCTTGGTGGTGATGCAGCTGTCAACTCTCACCTGAAGATGGCTCTTCGTGCTGGTGTGAAGAATGGTGCTCTCAAGCAAACGAAAGGAACTGGTGCATCTGGCTCTTTCAAAATTGGCAAGGTAGAGAAGCCAAAGAAGGTCAAGGTAGTGAAGAAGAAACCAGCTGCCAAGAAACCCAAGGCAAAGAAACCAGTGGCCAAGAAAGAGAAGAAAGTAAAGACCCCAAAGAAGGCAGCAAAGAAACCAAAAACACCCAAGAAAGCTGCAAAGAAGCCAGCAGCCAAGAAGGCAGTTAAGAAGACTCCAACCAAGAAGGCTGCCAAACCAAAGAAGCCAGCTGCAAAGAAATCTCCCAAGAAGAAGGCAGCAGCAAAGAAACCAGCCAAGAAGTAAACACTAGCTTTCAACCAACACAAACCCAAAGGCCCTTTTCAGGGCCACCCATTACTTACAAAAGAGAATTAGGTTTATGAACGCTTTAATCTGTGTGAGGTTGATTTTCTGATTCATCCCCACATTATAGTGTATTGAAATCCTGCAGTTGTAAACCTTGCCAGTAGGCCTAGTCCTGACACAAAGCTGAATTTTATCTAATTACCAGTGTTCACTAATCCAGCTTATTTCAACCGCAAGATTTCAATAAAAAAGTTCTCTATGCACTGATGGAGCCAAAAAAGGCCTTAAGGTCATAAATGGGCCTTCTAAGGCCTTATTTGTTATTTTTAGGTCAAATTTTGAAGAAAATGGGCCTCAAAATTTAGGCCCACTCTTTGGTTTTAGGGGCCCAAAATTTTATTTCTCAGACCAGAAGTTTGCCCCCCTTGTTGGTTCCCAGATCCGCCACTGCTATCCCACTGAATCTAATATATTCAAAGGGATTGTTTTGGAAGTACTAATGAGAAGGAATTTTTATTAAGGCGTAATGAGGCGCTACTCCTGCCTAGTTATTTCTGTTGTGTGATATTCAAAATAACAAGTGATTTGATAAAATATGTTGGTTTTGATCATGGAATTGATTTTCTCAGACTGCAGGGAGGTAGAACTAATTTTTAAATAAAGAGGGCAGGCCAATCCATCTGTGTTCATTTATACTAATACTCATGGGTTTAGATCAAGGAGGATTGGAAGCCAGGGTTCCAACTCGATATTCTTTAATCTCCACGCATGCGTCATTTGCTATTCGTGTCTGTATAATTTGTACGACTGCATGGAGAATGACCCGATACTCTCCAACAAAGCTATCGCTAGGTGATTGTTTTGCAGAATATCGGTGTTGCATTCTGGGAGCCAATCCTCCTTGGGTTTAGATGGAAAGATTTTTCAGCCATGGTGGAGTGTGCGTTTTTTTCATAAAAACACCAAATAAGAATTTACCATTTATTTTTTAACTCATATTTTTTGTTATGTATGAGAAAATTACCTACTCCATGCAATTGTCATGGGTATATCATTTGCGGGTAAACTTCACTTCTGTTTGAAGTTCAATAAAGCTTTGAGGAAAAGCTATTGAAATCTTCGCCAGAGTATCATACAGGGTGACATAAAAAATTCCACCCACTAATTTTAAATTGGAATAACTTACAATAATGAAGGAATCTTCATGATTTTTTGTGTGTAGATAGTGTTCAATGTATAAAAAATAACTTTCTTATCCATCGAGTCATTTCGGGATTGCTTTCACATATATTACCGATAATATGTCATATCTGCATGTTTTTCTTAAAACTGACTCACTTATACATAAAAAATCATGAAGATTCCTTTATCATTTGGAAAGTAATTATAAAATTAGTGGATGGCATTTTTGTGTCACCCTGTACTTTAAAATGGAGCAAATGTGACCCAGGCATTACTCAGGGAATTTCTCGAAAATAAATATTTGTGAAATTTCTGCCCCTGTTCCATCAAACTACACATTCATAATTTTTCAAATAACAACTAAAAAGAAGTATATATTTTGTATTTTACATGAGTTTTATTATCTGTACATTACATAACAATGTTTGTTTTATTTCGATTTAGTACCCCTGAATTTAAAAATATTGAACCTCTGAAGACAAAATCTTGTCTACTCATTGCACTGCCGTCTATTGACTAACCTCACAACATAAAAGATCTTGAAATTAATCTCAACTAGATAGTTGATGAACACATAAACCTAAAACAAACTGCACTTTTGTAGTGCTTTTAAGACATTTAAACGAAAAACAATAATAAATAATGTCTATTTACTAAACTGAAATATTTACATGAAAACTAACTTGGAATTAAATATTGACTTTTACCAATACTACACAGTTCATTGCACAGCTGCGAGAATTCTAAATAATTTCTCAGAGCTGTGCCACAGACTGATATTCCCTATCTACATGTACAATAGTTGTACTGACAATGTCAGTTCTATACACTTGAAAGAAATCTTTGAAAAGCACCATTGTGAAATACATTTTTAAAAATCTTAATTCCAAGTTGAGTTTCTCAGAACCAACACCATTTTTACAAGTTTACACTGTATTCACACATGACGAACTGTGTCATGTTTATGCAAGCAATTATAGAGGGCAGTTGTGATAAATAGATCAGTAATTTTACATTTTTGTACATTTACATTGTTTCATTCCTCAGCAGCTTTGTGTATTAAACATCAAAATTATACATTTCTTAAATTTTACATTTTAAATCCTATTCTTTTAGTATCCCTAGACAGTCTACTATAGAGCTGTCCATTTGTCTGTATATGTGCACTAAACTTGCTGGAGAACTTAAAACTTTGTGGTGCTTAAAGAGAGAATCAGATCTAGAGAGCAAGCTAAACACAAATTGTTGTTTTTGGCTCATCTCAATTCTTGTCATATCTATTTTACCCCACCCTTTTTAGAAAACTTAAAATTCTCTAGAATTTGAATAAAGGTAAATAACAGTGCAAATCAAAGTTGTTTTGATAGAAAATTACACACAGAATTAAAATATGCTCAATTTTACATGTTGCTTGAAATCATGTCACCAATTATTCAATAGATCTGATTCTGCCTTTAATTAAATGCATGTAAATCACCCCCCTGATATCTCAACTTCTTAAGAGAAGGAAGCAGGTACCAAAAGGGGGCAACAAAAGAGCATGATAAATAAAACCTATATGAAACATGCATTGTCAAAATTTAATATTCCAAATTTCAAATTATTCACTTTTTCAATCAATATATCAAAATGCCCAAATTATGTAAAAATATATATTTTGTTGTTGACTTTGTTGTTTTGGCATGCACTACATGCTGTCATGAATTGTAAACTGCTTTCGCAAAATTGAATTAGAAAAATTGGCAACTGTACTGTATGAAAGTGTGTTATAATATCAGACTCGGAGGTAGAAGAAACTACGAAGTTAAATACAGTTCATGGGTTGGAAAGTCTACATATGGATTGGAAAATCTACATATGGATTGAGAAATTGATCCTCAAGTTCACATTGAATGAAATACAGACAAGACAAACAAATTACACAAAATTGTATCAAAATAAAGCTACGCTTAACACTCCGATGTTGAAGATCCATGATCACATATTTTGTGTTGTTAAAAATGAAAACAACAAACTTATGAAATGGGTGATTTTCACAAAATAAATGACAACAAAGCTTCAAGATTGGACTTCTATACATTAATGTGACTAGTTAATCCAGTAGAAATACAATGCTGGTTTACATAAAAACTGTATTCATAAGCAGGAAATATAAAAATGCAAGAATATGTAATGTCAAATTTTATTCCCACAAGTGGAAAATTCTCAGAATGAAATCTAAGATATTGTGTCTTGTTCCCAATTAAATACGAAATGATCACCATGAAGGTATTGTTCTATTTTTGTAGAAGTTTCTTCAATGATCTTTCAATGTTCATCCTATGCCCCACTCTTAATACACCACACTGTAGGAAATCATCTTTCTCCATGCTACTTAGCTTAAATCCATCAATTTGTTTCTCGATAAAATTGTTTTTATATTCAGATAGAAACAAGCTCTCAAGCCAGTCCGTGACATCACTGTTAGTCCATGTTTTTAATGGCTTTGTTCGGAATGGGCGACCCATTTTAGGGGTTCCCATAGTGTTAGTTGAGGCCATATGCCGCGTTGGAGGGGGGATTATAGTGTGTGTTTTAGTACATGGCAGCTCTTCATAAATATTGTCATTATTGTCACCATTCTGTGCACCAAACTGAGGTGGGGGTGGTGCAACACCCACCTCTTCATACATATTTTCAAGTTTAGGTGCCGCAACACCTTGTTTATGTAAAAAGCTATAATTGCCACTTTTATTGTTACTACCTGGACCCGTCATGTAATGATTCTGTTTATGATCCGTGTTTCTATTTGTGAGATATTTCGGGATATCTGTTGAGCCGTCGCTTCGTTCACTGGAATATGTTGACATTGATGAGATAGATGAACCGTAACTGATGTTATCATCTGCCATGTCTTCATTTAGGAACAGTGGGGGAGGGGGGATATACCCGACACTTTCTTCTGAGCTTCCACTTGACCTTTGACTCAATGACCTCGCCCTCACAGAGCCCCCATTAAGTTCTGGTGGTTTAATTGAAAACCCTGGGGAAAGTTCTCGCTCAGGGGTATTTCTGAAGGCTGCAGGGGGTGGGGGAGGGGGTACTATGGATGGTGGAGGGGGCACATCAATATCAGCATACATATCAACCTCTGATTCCACCACAGGGGGAGGAATATAAAATGGCAATGCGGAATTATTGGGGAGTTTTCCTGGTTTGGTTGGTGGCCGAGGGGATGTTGAAGGTGGGGATGTCTCAAACATTTTTGCCCTAGCCGACACCAATTTGGGCATTTCATCTGTAGTATCTTTATTATCAGTTGGTGTTTCTGTAGATGTCTGTTCAACAGTAACACCCTTTAGCTCTACCAATGGAAGTGTCATTTCACTTTTCTTATCTTTCAATTGTTCACTTTTATTACCACCAGTTTTTTCAAATTGGTTTAGTTTATCTTTAATAGATGGTGTTGAAGGAGTGTCCTCTGGAGCTTTAATATTGATACCTTGGTTGTTTTGTTCTTGTTTGGAATCCATTGCTTTATTAGTTTTCCCGCCACTCTGTCTCGCTAGCCAATCAAGTCGCGCCTGTTCAGCTTTTGCCATGAAACTCTCTGCTTCTTTCTTCACAGGAGACACCGCAGTTTCCTTCACAACTGCTATAACTTCTGGAGCTGCTTTCTCCTCAATCGTAATGGGTTTTTGAGCAATTTTTGATGTTAGTACAGTGTCTTTATCATGTATTTGCATAGGTTTATCAGGTAAAAGGGTAGGGCTTTTAGGGTTGGGGATGGCACTGTTTGGCTTTACAGTTGTAGTTATCTTGGGAGGAGTTTTAGGTGCTTGTTTTTTCTGTGCGGGTGTAGATTCTGTCTTAACAGGGGTAGATTTTACAGTGGGAGTAAATTTAACAGGGGCTGTAGTTTTAGGCTCAGTGTCTGTTTTCTTTGGCTCAACTGGATTTCCGACTCCCATTCTGATCTTATGCACTCTGCTTAATTTTCGTTCAATTTTGTTAGCGTAGGACTCCATATCTGAGGACTCAACGATGGACTTTCTTTTTGCGACTGCAGCCATTAAAGCAGAATGGTTGTCATTCTTGGGGGTCAGCTGTTTGACCCCTTTGGGAAGAGGTTTTGATGTAGTAGTGTCTTGCGCACCATCAGTTTGTTTCTTCTCTCTGGCAAGTGCAGCTAGCTTGATGGCATTAGCAAATTCTGAGCCCTGTAATGGCATTGGTTGAGCACCCCCTGTGTCTCTGCCTTGTAAGTGGCTGTCACTCTGGCTCCTAGGGGGTGGGGGTGGGGGAGGTGCACTTTCTCGTTGTCTCTGCTCCTTCTGGTGATGTTTCTCTAAGATCTCATTACTGATTGGTGGGGGTGGGGGAGGAATGTAAGAGCTCTGAGATACTTGGCGCTCAACGCTAGGTCTTCGTTGCATCTCCCGTGGCTTTTCTTGCACTGTTGGAGAATGTATCGGGGAGAGAATATTTGGTTCGCTATGTCGATGCACTAATGGTTTGGTATTCACCTCAGGGGTCTTATCATGTCCCTGAGTGGCAGGCACTACTTTTAGGCTCTTTGTAACCTCTTTCTCACGCCAGTACTCCTTCGTTGATTGCTGCGTTACTTTAATAACATTTGCTGGGTCATCATAATCTGGATCAGGCTCAAAGTATGAGCTATCTGATCCCGTTCTGGTGTTAGATACAGTCTTAGAAGGCTCTTGTTTTTCAGGCAGTTTTGTATTATAAACATTGTCTGTTTTTACACTCACTGTTTTATCTTTATTTATCGTGGTTGCATATATCGGTTGTTCGTTATCAAGTTTTGTTCGGGGAAGTTTACGTGGTTCCCCACTAGATGGAGCTGATGCATGTACATCTGCCGTGACCAACAACGAGGCATTGGGGTGATCATTCATAAATTGTGCCGCACTTTCATATATATGATCATCTGCAAACTTCACTGAATGTTTATCACCTTGCGAGGCATCACCTTGTTCAAAGTTTTCACGAATTTTTCTAATGTCCACTTTTCCCTGATCATTTTCCTTAATATCAGGTGATTTTATGGAAATATTTTCGGGTATTGCTGGCTGACTGAGTCTATGTTGGGAGTAGGTTTTCGGGGCAAGTTTAGGTTTAGTGCTTAACTTGGCCTCGATACCTGGTCGAAAACTTGATTCATAGTTCGTACTATCACTCCTGGTGACGGTAGCTATCTTTTTCTGAATGTCAGCTGACACATTTGCATAAATATTATGTTGGTCCTTGGTTGTGATTTTTACCACTTCCCCCTTGGGTTTTGTTGGTGGCGGTAAGGGTGGGGGGTGTTCAGGGGGTGCTGGGATCACCATACCCAGAGCAGGGGCAAAACTTGGGGGAGGGGGGTAGTCACCATCAGCAGGGGGCAGAGACGGCACCCCAGAATCTGTTGAACTATTAGAAGTTTGACGTCTGTGTTGTTTACTGCCGTCACCAGATACCATGGCATATTTAGCAATATGGATCTGATTATTAAAGTCCGCACCACCATGGGCACCTTGGCCTTGAACATCACTAGGGTCATGATGAGAACCCATAGACACCCCTGAGTCTTCCTGTGGGGGACCCCTAGGGGGCATCTGTCGATGCAACTGGGGTGTTGCATATGGGGCAATATCGGCATAAGCGTCATAATCCAGCCGTTCCTGGCTAAAGTTCCTACTGAGACTCATTGTACCATTCTCAACTAAATTAGGTGTACTGCTACTCTTTGAGCGTGTCAAACTCCCATTTATAATACCATTGCTTTTCTTACGAGCATTACGTGCCTTAACCTCGGAAGGTTTCATTTTTGGAACTTTGGGGTTTTCAGCTGGTATTGGATATGCACCATCTTGACGTGCGAAAATGTCTTGAAGTTCTACAGTTGACACTCTCAGATGCGGGTTACGTCTGCGTATGGATGCTGTTTTGGCATCTGATTCTGAAGAGCTTGTCGCAGAGTTTGCCTCAGATGAGGCATATTCATCTAAGGTCTTGTCGAGGCTTTCTAGTGTCTCTGAAATAGAAAAAACAATGAGTTAGTTATCATATCCAATTCCCATTTTCTACAAGATTTAATAAAATGTTTAGAAACACGTGAGGAAGAAATATCTCTCCATAAACATGTTTAACCCTAACTTAGCTAATAATGGTCTTTCAAACCAAAATCCCACTAATCATGCACAGATTATATAATCTTTAACTACATCATATATAACATCCATCCTGGTATATGTTTTGATTGCTCATTCCTCTCTTTTCTCTATTATCCATGCAATAACACCATGTTTTGAATCACATGCAGAGGAATAGAGGTGGTATATGAACCTACCTAACGCTGTTAGGCCATCTACCATAGATTTGGCACGTGCCCGACCAGCAGACAGTTTAGTACCCGTACTACGTATAGGTGGCATTGGCGCTGGAATAGAAACCATAGCAACATGCAATATCTCCATAGTACCCATCACAGTTATAACTACAGTAATTCACACACAATGCAAATAACCAGCCACCTTATACCTTATTTTTCACCCTTATTTACATATCGTAATAACTAGATCATCCTAAGTTTGGTTGTTATTTGTAGACGCAAGAGCCGCTTAAATAATTCCAGTCTCAGTCTACAATAGTTTTTGGTTTCATTCAACTGATGCCTACCTCTGTTTTTTTGTGGTCTCTCTAGGGTAGCCGAGCCTGATATGCTCCCGGATATGCTCCCTGTGACACTACTATCGCGGCTATCCAGGCTGCTCTCACGGTCACTACGAAATGGGTTCTCCACCGTGACAACTCTCAAAGCTAGCGTATCATCCGATCTCATAATCAGCCTCACGGTATGCTCATGTGTTGCGCTGATCACATTCTCACCATTAATCTAGAAACATAGTAGTGAAAAGCTGAGTATAATCCACAAATCTTTTTTATATTCTAAAATACAAACAAAGAATTGCCTGGTTGTAACCAGAACAACGGCAACGCCAAAGCGTAGCGAATCCCATCGAACAGAAATGGCTGGCATTTTTACAAACGAATAACAAATATCATAAAACAACACACCAGAAAGGCCACCACTTTCAAAATGGTTGCTCACTAGCCAAGTTGTCATCAGAAGAAATAATATGCTTTTAAGTAGCCACCTCTAAAATTTTTGAAAAATCACAGACGTACTTGTAAAATAACACACATAAAAATGGTGGCCATTTTTCAAAATGGCCGACTACTCCCCAAAGTTTTATTAGACAATGTGCCATGCTTAAAGTATTCACATATCAAATATGAACAAAATCGCTCCACTACTTTTCGAGTTATAGTAAAATACGTTAAAATGGCGGCCATTTTTCAAAATGGCCACTGTCTACCAAAAGTGTCATTAGAAATAGACAGTGTGCCATGCTTATAGTATTCACATACCAAATATGAACAAAATCACTCCACTACTTTTCGAGTTATAGTAAAATACATTAAAATGGCCGCCATTTTTCAAAAAAATTTTCAAAATGGCCGCCTTCTACCAAAAGTGTCATAAGACAGTGTGCCATGCTTAAAGTATTCACATACCAAATATGAACAAAATCGCTCCACTACTTTTCGAGTTATAGTAAAATACGTTAAAATGGCAGCCATTTTTCAATTTTTTTTCAAAATGGCCGCCTTCTACCAAAAGTGTCATAGGACAGTGTGCCATGCTTATAGTATTCACATACCAAATATGAACAAAATCGCTCCACTACTTTTTGAGTTATAGTAAAATATGTTAAAATGGCGGCCATTTTGAAAAATGGCCGCCTTCTACCAAAAGTGTCTTTAGACAGTGTGCAATGCTTATAGTATTCACATACCAAATATGAACAAAATCGCTCCACTATTTTTTGAGTTAAAGCAAAAATCGTAAAATGACGAGTAAAGGCCGCCATTTTTCAAGATGGCTGCCATGTGCTTCTTTAATATCTTCATTTGTAGCATTATTAATGTCCTTTATAATTTTTTTACATTTAAAACATATTGCTTTTACAGTTTTACATATTACACCTAAATTACTGTAAAATCGGCACTAAAATGGCCGCCATTTTGAAATGAGCGGCCATTTTGAAAATCGGCTTTCGAGCAGAACTTCTACCCCCATAGGGTATATGTGTACAAAATATGAACAAAATCGGGCCAACGGTATTTGAGTTATTGCCCGGACGGACGGACAGACGGACGGACGGACGGACGGACGGACGTACGTACGGACGTACGTACGGACGTACGTACGGACGGACGGACGGAGGCGTTCCCTATATCCCTCCGAACTTCGTTCGATGGGATAATTATAAAAGTGAGTTCATTTGTTCCAGATGGTGATGCCGCAAAAAAGATGGCAATAACTCGCTGGTGACATAAAAATCAACTGTAGGTGTTCAAATTTCAATGTTATATATATAATTGGGACTGAGAAAGTGTTCATATTGGGATGGAGGTGTTCGGTCTACACAGTGTTCAGATGTACAGGGTTTGCGCGAAGTCTATGGGGCTGAAAAACCAAATGTCAATTGAAAGAATTAAAGATATTCATTTTTCAGCACAATAATCCAATAGTCTTCTGGCTTACCTCCAGTAGGAAATCCCCAGCCTGTAGACCAGCTTTCTCCGCCATACCTCCAGGGTCAACACGGTCAAGGTACTGTAAGGCCGGGTAGTCTGTGGTTGGCTGGAAGTCTAGTATCCTTGTTGATGGGTCTTTGGCTGGAAATATGTTTATTGGGTTAAATGTCAAATTATGTTATCAAATTTTAAATTTCTCTATCATGTCATTCTAAGCACACCAATTTATGAGTCTCTGATTTTACACTTTTCATGGAGCTTTTTGCCATCATTATTTTAACAGCTTTATACACACACAAGTAGAGTTTAATTACTATTTCATTTAAAAAAGGATTGGTAAAACATCAAGAAGCATCTTCCTTTACAGTAACATAGGCAATGAGGAGTGCACAAATGGTAACATTTCAAAACAAAAACCGAACCCTATAGAACAGAACATCAGTTGAATTCCCTTACTCTAAATTAAATCTATATAGAACATATAGATGGGAGAAGAGTATTCAAGTCTGATAAACTTACATTTTGCTCCCCTCAGTACAAATCCAAAGCCATTCTTGCCTTTCTGTAAAACCACTGTTCTGGGAGCATAAGCACTGAAAATACAGAACATTATTAAATTAGAGAACCTACACCTGGTAATACAGCTATAAATGTAAATGTTATGTTATTCCTAATAGGAAAAATACATATTATTTTGTCAATTTGTCTACACCTGGTTAGAAAGTTAGATATCTACATGAAAGTGGATGTTATTATATAATTGCTTGAATATACATTAATTTTATACAGAATTATCAATTAAATACAAAATAAATACATTTGCATTGTTAAGTACACAAAACGACATTTTAAAATGGAAATACACTTCTTAATATGCAAAATGAATTCATATGTATACAGTACATAAATTGTGAAGGGCCTAGGCTTAAAGAATTATTGGCCTCTGCTAACATTAGACATTTAACATACAATTTAAGAGGCTAGACCTATTAAAAATACTTGAACACAATTATTTCAACAAGGTGCTTTTAGAGAGAGAGGTCAGGCATTGTCCTTATAAGACATTATCCAAACATTGAAGGAAATGCCACTGGTGTCTGGTCAACTTAAAGAGCTTTACCCTGGGCAAATGTGGGTAACCTATACAAAAGATAAATCCACGAATCATCAAAATTCTGTGATTACAATCATTATTGGGGACGTAGTGGCAGTATTTGACACTTATATGTTTATTTAGAGAATTGAATACTAAATAAATCAATAATTTTGGAATAGATGCTTACTTCTTTTAAAAACCCAAAATATCTATTATGGAGTTAAAATTCAATATTTCTGAGATGTTGAAAAAGTGCAATATGATTCTTGTCATGAATCGAAATTGCATTCCTCTTTGAAAATGTTTTAAGGGGATGTTTTATTAAACTTTGACTCCATGAACCAGTAGCCCTTATTTAAAACTGGAATTTAATACAACTATTTAACTGTGCCGTGTACATCACATTCAACCATATATAGGCTATCAAACAACCTTAAAAACCAAGCTATTCATTCGACATCAAAAGTCTGTATTGAGACTATATATTGCCATGGGAAATACCGGCACTATAAATTAAAATGGCATTTAAACAATGCGTTCTATTTCGAAAGGTTCAGTTTTTGAACTGTAAAGTTTAAATGTGTTTTTCTTTTCATATTGCTCAATGTTATACTAAATTGAAGAAAATGTGTCAGCATGTGCTATAACTTGTGAAAGAAATATCATAGCAAAAAAACAGTATTCAGTTATATGTAGGTGTTTGTATATTGGACTTAACCTCAAATTATAACTGTTGATCAAGAAAAAATTTTAATATTGGAATATACAGAATCCATTGATCAAGAATGAGACTTGATTAATTATCACTTTCCCCATATCTCATTTTTTATTACCAATATAGTGATAACTGAAATTATGTTCATGAATAATCACTATATACAACAATTGAAAGAGAGTTATACATGTACATGTACATATATAGAAAGAACCCATATTTCATGCAGTTTATTTGTTATTTCATCGGCAAATGTTCAGTTCTCTGCCATTTTCAGGTTTATTTGCTTAGTTTCATAAACTGAATGTATACTAGTATATGCAGTATTTGAAAATGAAAATCTTAACACAAACTTCACATGACAAAAAATTCAGTAACAATATAAAGGGCTAACAACGTATTATACGCTACATTACATGTATTTATTTGATGAGCAATAAAGCATTATTCAGTTTAGTTGGAGATAATCCAGCATGTACTATGATGTCCCATTGTTAGGAATGTAGACTACATATATGTACTATGCGTCAACAATGGTGACACATTCATATTATTTAAAACATGTGAATCCTTTTCAACTGGTGTTTCATTACAAGGCAGATGTGTGTGTGTGTGTGGGGGAAGGGGGGGGGTCCATCCACACTTTAAACATCTTGTACTCATACATATGTAAAATACAAAGGGCGATATTCAGAAAGCAAAAAAGTAACATCTAGCACCCCTTTTCAACTTACAGATACTCTTTATCAGAGTATATAGGTGCTTACTGTTGACATGTGCTTAGGGAACAAATTTGTTAGCAGGGTAAAGTATAGAATGACCAGGGGCGTAGCCAGGATCTCAAATTATGCGAGGAAAGAAAGCTGATTAAGAGAGGCAAATTTTGCTGCCTCGACTGCCTACACCCATGATGACTGTAACAAGTTAAATGTTAGAGTGAAAGACAGTCATGTTTCTAACCGAATATAACATCACAAAGCAACCACAGAATATATCAGTATGTTAAATGCTTCGTACAATGTGCCTGCTTGTGTAGCTTTATATCTTTTATATATTCTACACTAAAACTGACACAATAAATACAATATCACCAGCTGCAGTCGACATGAATTTCCAATATATTCAATTATGCAAGATAAAATTTATATATTTTTGATGTATGTCGGGCTGAACTTTTATATGAAATTATCAGATTATGACTCATCATATTGGCTGATTTCTAGAGCTATTGTTTTTATGTGTGATATTTTTTAAGCTTTGCCATATAACATATATATAAGGTAACCCCCTCCCATCTCTCTAGGCGTTATTTAGAATTATAACTGTGTGTCTGGTAAAGCAACTATTTTCAATCATGAACCTTTTTAAAATTCATTCCCTTTTTTGAAAAACTGGATATTCTTTTTAAGTCAGACAAAACTTTCTATATTATGACAATAATACCAACCTCGCTTTTGGTGATGTAATACCAGAGTCAGAAAGAAAGGAAATTGAGACTGGTTTGTCTTTACAGTCATCCCGCAATATCCTGTATGATGCCATTCTATCAGCGGATGTTGATCGGACCTTCTTTGGTTTGGGTGGTGGCGATTTATTGGATGAAAAAAAGATTGGGTTTAAGATCGTTTTCCGACGTCCTCTATTTTTCTTGTCATTCTTTTTCTCTTTTTCCTTTTCTCTCTTTATATCCTTTCGTTCACTCTTTGGAGATTTAAATATCTGCCCTAAATTTTTAGGGACTGATTTAGAACTGTATTTATCCTTTTTAGTGTCTTTTGGAATCTGCTGGAAATAACTATGCTGCTTAAACTTATTAAATGTTTCATCGAGAACATTGGGTGTTGAGACAGAATTTTTGGTGGCATCATCTACGCTTTTTTGTTTTCGTAACTTCCTCAATGCTTGTACAGGAACGGCATCCTGAGAATTCTTCTTTGACTTTGCCTTTTTGTTAATGTCCTCATCACTCTCAATTCTGAGTTCCCTAACCTCCCCAATGGCTGGGTCCACTGGAGCGGGTTCCTCCTTTGGTCTATCCATGTTAAATAATCCGGACAGGCGTTTGTTTGCTTTCTGTTTTCTATTATTCACATCATTATCCACATCCAGAGGGATATTCTGATATTCTAACGCAGCTATATGAGCGAGATTTCTCGGTGGCTTTGATGTGAATTTTTGGTGAATTTTGATTGGTTTGAAATAGTCACTGAACCTCTGTGGTTTATCCCTCTGTGTTTTATCTAATACACTATCACTACTTCTACTTCGTTTTAATCCTGGTAATTCTATTATGACATCACAAGGACTGACAACACCAACACTAGCATCGTCACTGGCAGTAGATTCATTCAAGTTCTCATTCTCATCTGTGCTGGTATTAAGTGATACAGATTCATTGCCTTGTAAAGGTGAGGTACAGTTAATTGCATCAGTTGTTTTACTTGAATTTATAACAACACTTCCATTGCTGGAGGGTTTAATATTAACATTGCACTTGATTTCAACACTCGGTTTCCGTCCTTTTGTCCGACTCATTTTACTCTTTTTGGTTAAATCACCGAAATATTTCATAAGTCTATTTCTGAGATCTCCCTGACTTGTTTGTGAGTCTGCGGCTGTTGTGGTTATGCTTAACACACTTGGGTATATTTTTGGATCATCTTCACCTTCAACAGTGTCATTGTCCTTTATTACAACTGACCCATTTTGATATGAATTTGGTTTGAGGTCATTTGTGTTATTCTGAGATATCCTTTTGTTAAGATTTGAAGTGTTGCTTATATGGAGTCCACCATTTTGTTGATTTTTATTATCATTGCTTTGCGTCATGTCCTTTTGAATCTCTCCAGTGTTACCATTCAAAGAGTCATTTAATACAGAATGTTCGTGGAATGTCACAAAATCATCTTCCATTAGTTCAGTGTCAGATTTCAACTCTCTTGTATTTTTAACATTTCCATTTGGAGTTGGATGTTTTAATTGTTTTACAAATCCTTTTCCTTCAACAAACATCAATTCATGGTCATCTTCCTCAACAACATTAGCACTTCTTTGCTTATTAGATTCCATTTTGATTACACCATTAGGTTTAGGGAGATCCTTTAAAACTGGTAAATCCAAATGATTGTTATTCTTTGTATCCAGATCGAGTTCACTAAGTGAGCGTTTCAATCTTGTGTCACGTCGACCTCTCACACGTCCATTCTCCTCGATTTTTTTCACAAAATATTTCTTATCAGGAGAAGAGCTGTTAAAATAATCTGAGTTAATTTTTTCTATGATGTACTTATCACTTTTGGTCGGAGTGACCCCGTTCATGTAGGCATCTAGAAAGTCTCCTTGGTTGATATTTGGTGTAGAACCCGGCCTTTTCAATGCAACCGCTTGATTGTTAATCCATTCAGGGAATACTGCAGGACGCTTTAAAGCGTAGAGCTTGATATACGGGAGAGATTTACTGTATGATAATCCTTCGTGGTACTTCTGTATCTCACGTCTTCTGATAGCTCGTTGTGTCATGTTAAATAATTTGGTTCAACTCCCACGTCTAGTTTATTAGGGAAGCTAGTTTATCATTGGCAATAACTGTGGGGTTTCCATTACTTTTACTACGATCTTATCTCTCACTGTCAACCTTATTTAAGTGATATGTAAATCCTGTTTAAATTGAGTTCCCATCATATAAAAATACCATTGCTATATTCACGCTAGTTTAGTTCCGTTTGCCTATTCATGTCTTTTTTGTGTACTCTCTGAGTCCTTTAAACAAATCAGCATTCCAAAACATTCATAGTTTAAACCACACTTCATAGGAGTAGGCAAGTTAAAGGTCCCATTGAAAATGGTCTATATCAAATATAAGCTCTTGCTCAAACTACGGTGCTCTCAGCCTATAAGGCTTATTCAAATAGGCTTAGTTTGCTATGATTCAACAAACATGTGTGTACTTCCGTCATATACCTTAACTTAAGGTATTCAAAGTAGTGCCCATCTGGTTAAGTTAGCAAAAATTAAACCTTCATGTGGTAAGAGTTTTAACCAAATTTACTATTTTTTATTAATTGAGTCATTAATGTCATTAACATTGAAGTCCTTAATGAGATCAGCCTTCACTTTGATGGTATTACAATCATAAAATTCTGTTGTGCAATATACTAAAAATTCCTTTTGGGAATTAGAGTTTAATTAAAATTACTATAATTCATATAGTGTTCTACGAAATATGAAATAATGTTATTATCAGTTAACGATGAATGCTTGCGGTTATTGCTTGATTAGAAAATCCTTCAGGCATTGTTACAACACTCCTTTTTCCCATTTGAAATGAACAATCATTTGTTATTAAATTACGATGTGATGCAATTCAGGAACCTTTATGCAAAAACTTTCTGAGTTAACAAAACATATATCCATATCTTGCTTCGACTGCTTCCTCTCCAGCTTTAAGTCTGTTTTCTCAGCCCATCACGTTAAATTAAACTTAGTCTAGTCGTTTATTTGATTGCACAATAATACAGGGTTGACAGAACATAGAAGGCATCCATCAAGTTTCAATGTCAAACAATTCAGACTTTAAATATTTATCCTTCATACCAAATGAAAACAAAATTCCGTGATTGAACTTTTCAATTGAAATGTCACTAGTTCAATTCTTTCTCAGTGAAATGTCAAAGTTCGGAATTGGTTTATTTGTATATCGAATTCAGGTCCACTTTTGACTGCATCTTAATATTTGCATTTCCTATTTATATCCTTGCCGCTATATTGTATTCAATGCTGCATTTAAAATATACATGTCAAGTGTTCTATGATGATTCTCACAAATGTTTGAATTAGTGCTTCCAATTACGATATTTCTAATTTAAAAGTTTCTTACACCTCTGAGCGCAGACAGTATGATTGGCTCTTCAATTAGCCTTGTTAAGAGATCCATGTTGTTGCAGAAGCATCTTTTGTTTCTTTTAGTTAATTTTTTGTAAATTCTCTCTGGGGTTTCTCTGTATGTTCCCAGGTATGGTTCCTAACCAGATGCTCTCCAGTATGTTTTTGTAATTTTCTCATTAGTGATTTTTTTGTAAAAATGTAAACTAGAATCTGAGCATCTTGCTTCTTAAATGTTAGTCCTTAAAATGTATGTACATGTTGCATTTATGAACACGAGTTGTCTTAAAATAATGAGTTAATCAGATTGCCTCCAGTAGGTATATCTGCCAACCGTGACACATATTACACGCACAGTACATGGGGAGTTAGTTGCATGTTAAGGATGAACGCCCCAAAATTAATTCTTAACATGCGATGATAACAGCTTCAAATGTGACAACTAAGCATCAATAAAAGCTTTCTCAGTTTTTGATTTTCCCAATCACTACATTAAACACTGTTGAATATTTTCAACAAAATTTATAACATTTTTGTTTTTAGCCATGATTGATTCATTCCGGTTTACATTGACATGCAGAATGCCTCAGGTCCATATGGTTAGGCCAAATATACTTTGGTACGAAGTCCTAGGTAGCTATCTACAGTTATAAAATTTATAGCATATTTTTAATAGTGCAAATGGAATTCAGAAAATGTTTGTTTTTTAAATAAAGTGTTTTCTCGAGTGGCATTTGTTAAGTTAAAAGATTATCTCTTGCTGACTTTAATTCTTATAGTCTTTTAGTTTTGTTTGCTACGAGTTTATAAATTCTCCAGATTTTTAACTGCTGTTTTGTCTCCAAGCAATCATTCCTCGACTGAATCAAATTATATTGATGGTTAAAATGACCAGCTTTTTTTATTCCAAAAGCGCGTTCCTCCTTCCTTGATACTCCAGTTTCTGCAATCTTCGAAAATATTTTCTAAATTTAGATTCGATTTTCTTGACTATCTGACTTTTGGTAACTTGAAGTGCAAATCTATATGCTAGAGACAGTATTTCCCATCTGTTGAATTTCAAAACAAAGACTACCGTAGACATGTACCAATGCTTTACCTGTACTGATATATGAATATAGCTACAGGTGGGTATGAATGATTGACCTGTATGCTTATCTACACAATGATCAAACTTTTGAATGGGGGATGATTTAGTGGTCATTTAAACTGGCAGTGGCTCTTTGTGTGCTATTGTCTCTGAGATGAGCAGATGTCTCATCGAGTATGTATCAGTCACACTACAATGTATCACAATATAATAGAAGAGTGTGTCCCATGGACAACCTGTACTAGGAACATGCAAGCTACTGGATGTCTCACATCTGCCAATGGCATCACGATGACATATTGTTTCAGTTTCTATGACAGCATACACAAATTATCCCTAGAAATGATGATGAAGTTTTGATTTAAAGCTGGATACCCTACCCCTAACTCTACCCCTACCCCCTGATCGATCCAGAAAACAACATTCTCTTTCAATATTACTTTCAACCTTTACCCCCCCCCTATACCCCATACGAGCACTACCCCCCACACCTTCTATTTCATCCCTTTACCCCCTCCAGACTGCATAGTGGTTTTTGCACCAAGACTGAACCAATATGTACAAATACACTGCAGATTGTTTTCTTCTTCATCACGACAATATGGATGGCTCTAATTAGGTCTGATTGCCAAATAAATAAGACGAATCACCATGACATTGTTCGAGTATATATCAAATTAGATGTCAGACAGAGATAAAGTGAACTAATTAATATTTTAATAGGGAAATAAAATCACCCCGTTTTGTATATCATTATCTCATATTAGCATTAAGGAAATAATTTTTTTAATTTCCTGTTTATTAACTCGGGGTCCTCATCAGAATTCTGTTTATAATGGCAATGGTATAATAACTACAGTAATGTGCACATTTACAAAAACTGGCTCAATTGATATAAATACACCATATGTGGTTGGGTTTTCTAGTTGCTTTGCATTATACTGATTTAAAGAATTTATGTTTCAAAACAAGACTATCAGAGACATCCATGTTGAGTCTACAACTTACAAATTATTCAACAACTTTATTACAATAAATTGCTAGCTGAAAAGTAAATATCAAGTTCAATTTTATCTCATATTTTCTATACTTTTTGTTTTGAGTCTTCGTGCTATGTTCCCAGGGGCCCCGTAAGGAATCATATAAAGTTGTCAAGGACGCAGTTGAAGGATATGAAAAGAGTCATGTCATTTTACAGTTGGAATAATTTCATGTCAAATACTACAAAAAGTTCACATTTATCAATGAAATAAACTGTAAAAATCTTGAAAGTACAGGTTTTATAGATTTTATCAATACACTATGTATGGTGTGATAGTTTTTTGCGATTATTTTTTGCTTTTAAATTGTACCAAATTTAAATGCACTTTTTTATTTCAGAATTTGAAACATGGTTAGTCACGTATATAAGAGGTATTGATTAGCTTAAAATGTTGCTGTTTCTCTAAGAATAATTATTTCATGCTCTAAGACACTACTACACTTGAAAATAATGGTTCATTATCCATATTGCAAAAATAAAACCATTATATTGTATCATATGCAAAGAAGGAAATTGGTGAGAATGTGCCAAAATACTAAATATCTAATTTAACTTTTAATGAATACAAATGTGGTTGGGAGACTATGAAAAACAGTGCCATCTTTTAATAGAGGAAAGTCACGTTTTACATATAGAGGCAGAACAGGACTAATAAGCCAAATTACAAGCCAATGAGACTATATCGTCCATAAAACAAGATCAAAATGTATATGAGAAAATAAACTATTTTTATACTTGAGACATGACAGTTGATATGATTCAACCCCACCCTCTCTCTCTTTGACTGCATATTGAGCTCTGTTAAGTTGTATTTATGCAAGAGGGGGAAAAATCCCAAAGTTCAAAGATGACATACGCTTATACTGTAAACCTGCATTGAGAAGACATATATCTTTGATTCGTCAAAATTGACAAATGATATCATCAATGGCGGCATCAAAATATGCTTCGAATAATATTATGTTCATTTGAAGCGGGTTTAACAAATCATAGCTTCTTATTTCACATCAAGATAAAAGAAGGTGTACGGACCCCTAAATCGATTTAAGCAGCAAATCAAAGTGTAGTATTTGGAGTTTCCCCTCCTCTTATTCCACAAAAAGGTTGGTGAATATAACACTTTTGGTGGTGACATAAAAATGCTCAACGTAAAATACTCACCTATCGGAGTGAACAAGGGCTGCTAATGTGTGCCTCTTTACTAGGATTGAGTCATCCTGGTCTGGTAAGCATTTTAAACCTGTAAACACAGAAAAATTAAAATCAGTATGATGTTACATAACAAGGTAATTTTTATACATGGTACGGAGAGGATGAAGGTGACTGCCTGATATAACTCACTTAACAGAAGGCTCTTGGAGAAAAAAAATTGAGGTTTTTATATTAATACATATAAAGGTATGATGAAATGGTAAAATTAATGGATGTGCATAGTATAACATGCTTTTCTGCCATGGTCCCAAAAATTGATTTCACCTTGCAATTCAACATTTTGGGTCTCATAATCTTCCGAATCTGAATGTGTTCTATCATCATCAACATCTGAATCACATTCATCAGTCCTATAATCCTTGAGATTCCAATGTGTGTTGTCATAATCATGGCTATCAGGGTCAAAGGCATCACTAGGGTCATCTGAATTATTGTCTTTATCAGGTTCATTGTTTTGTATCTCGTCAAATACTTGAAAATCCTGATGACCAGACTTATTGATTGATTTGTTGTGTTCACTTTTGGCACCATTATAAATGTCACTGATATCTGAATCTTTACTTTGATTGTGATCATCAGTCTCAGGATCATTATTAGTATCACCATTAGTGTCAATGTTATCCGTATCTTTAGGTACATAATCAGTTTGTCTATTCTCTGATTTAGAACTTGACTGATTCTCTGCCTTTAGCTGCTTTGTTTTATCTCTAGCAGTATGTTTATCTTCATTGTCATTCTTATCGAGATTAACCGCCACACCATTATTCAGCTTTTTGTTTCCAATAACATGATTTTTTAGTCTGTCAATGTTTATGTCTTGATCCCTACATCTCTTAGCTTCCATGTACTGCAGGGTGTCCTCATTGTGCACCTCGACTTTTTTCTTACACCATGAGCAAAGAGACAGCATATTACATCCAATAGGTAGGTGTACCACTGTGTCTTTTACATGTAGGACAGATAATCTAACGTGACAGCATCATAAGGAAGAATGCAGCCTCAGTAGTTCACATATCAAGATTAATGTATTTTCATGTACACTCTACTTCATGATTGGATCTCACAACCAAAGTGTCGACTAATCCTTTCAAATGTTCCCAGACTTTTGTGAGACTACTGATCACCTTCTACATGTATGCTTCCAGGTTCCCAGAGATCACTGCATGATTATTCTCTTCCCGAACCATCTGTAAGTCTACATTTTTTAAATCCTTTCTTAATTAATTTGAAGTGCATGTACCAGTAAATAAAATATAATGGGTCTAGCTAATTATGATGAATTTCTATCAGAACCTTGATCAAATTCTCCCACTAGGTTTTCTGTATAATGAATACTATTAATAACATGCCCGATTACTTCAATCATCTTAATCCATCCTTCTCAGATCCATTTGATCATAAACATTTATGAACATTATGAGATTATATTCATAGAACCCCTTTGCACATGTGCATGTTAAATAATACGAATCAACAGCATTGTATTAACAGTGATTTCAAATGTCCCAAAACATATGTCACAAATCTTATGTATACTGAAGTGATATAACTTAATAAATAAATAGAAATCTTAATCAATAAACCCCTACATACCATGTACAACTGGCTGAGTATAATCCAAATCAAGATATCAGTCAAATGATAATTATCATTAAATGATGTTTTGTCTTAGATGAACCAATTTAAGATTTTAAATAGGTAATAAAACATTTCCGGTCAAATGTGATACATGGTTAGAAATCTGCTCATAAATCTTGGTTGATTTAAAGGGAATGTAGCATATGAAAGGCAAAGTGTTAATGATGATGAATTGGTCTATGTGGTGTTCAAATGAAACATGACATTTGTCAAAGTGATTGGCGTTAATATGTCTAAATAGTTCCCCATCTGGACAAAAGATGGTGGTAAACAAAAACAAAGCATGGTAATCAATCCCAGCATGCCATGGATAATGACCTCTAATGATTGATTGAATTAATAGGTAATCATAACAGGATCAACTGACACTATTCAGATTTATACATTTAGGGATTGTAATGAAAATAAGCAAACCTAAAAAATGCATAAAACACCTATTGATCACATAAAAAATGCATCATTCAAAATGGGAAAAATAGTCATGCTTCAAGACCCTAGACTATCCTTATCTACTTCAATTGTTTAAGATGTTGAGGTAGGGGGTGGGGGGGGGGGGTCTTGAGGCATAACAGGGTAGTAAAAAGTAAAGTAAATGATGTATTAGTATATTCACTATACACAATTGTTAGATCCTAAAATAAACAAACCATGCTTCAAATAAAATTTGTTAGTAAGTCACTCCTATAATAAACCATGCATGAAAAATGTTAGATAAATCCTACAACAAAACCATGCATCACACTTATTAAATGTTAGTTCAGGTAGAAAACCTACAAAAAATTCAATTATCTTCAAAATGATGATGGCCATGATTTACTTAGAAGAAAGACAGCCTTATTGTTTCACCCCCTCACACTTTCCCTACAAGACAATGGGACCAGATTTTTGCTGATTATGAAGAACACTTTGATGGAGTGAAGAGGTATTAATATTCCCCATGTAAACCACCTCTCAGTTCCCCAAATTCTGACCCATAATTCTTTGAATCAACCTATTTCCCTGGACGGCTTTCTTCCAAAGAAATCACGACCATCAAACATTTTGAAAGACTAACATGCAGCCATTAAATGTACCTCTACGTCTCATTTTCACTTCCTCTACGCAATACGGTGGGAACCAGCCTTCGTAACCTTGAGATCTCCCCTCAAGGAACCCCTGCTCACCTACGCTAAGTACTGAAAATCAAATCAACAATCATTAAAAATATTTTTCCTGAAAACCAATACTGTAATTTAACTTTTAATGATCTATTGTAGTCACATCCAAAAATGACCATGTCTGACATATTATGTTTTTACAGATATTTGGTTTGACTTATTGCCCTTGGCCACAACTTTAAATGATGACATTCGATTCACGAATGTAAAGGACATTAAGGATTTAATCAAATGAAACCATAAGGGTGACAACTTCCAATTTTAGATGTCATCATTTCCAAAAAATAAACCTCTAAAAATGCGACCTTTCAATGATACAAGACCTCCATTGAGTAGATCCATTAGTTCAAAAACAACTGAGAAACTTGTACCACATATAATATTATTTACCTCGTCTCAGCCTATTTGGAGTTTCCAGATACATCATATTACATGCCATTTTATTATATTGATTGCAACTTCAACATGCATAGATCTTATTTCCAATTCTACTTATACGCTGATAAAAGAATCCATGAATGTGAGGTGAATATCTACATATCAATAATATTCCAAATCTCAGTCATATCTGATCTTAGAATATCATTTCTCTCTCAAAATCCAGTCATTTCATATCCGACAACATATTTTCCATAATAATTACTTTAAATGCTATCACAAGATTTCTGGTTTAGTTGACATTGAAATAAACTATTTATATCCACAAATTATTAATCCATATGCATTATATGCCAAATCTACACTATTTTCTTTATCCAGCCAAAAATGGACACAGTTGAAGTTTATCCTAGTCTTGGCTTATCTTGTTACTACATAAAAGTGAGCCAGGTTTCCAATGCATTTCCCCTATGAGCTTATTAGTGACTGAATCTTGCTTTCATCTTATTCACAAGTAACCTGTATGTATTTCTTGCATGAAATTACTTATTATGTTCATCTGTATGATCTGAGTGGCTTCAGGGATGAAAACGAAATTTAATTATTGCTAATTTGGAGTTCATGTTTTTATGTGTGACATTGTAATTAACTGGTCTAGAGGCAATGAGCTATAATTGGCTGGTGTTTGTGAAATTATTTGTTTTTGTCAAAATATTTAATCTTTTACTAATATATGATGTTTGTGTTTTGCAAACAGCGATGTCATGAAGATTACAAAATTGTAAGATTTCAGGTACATAGAAAATTTTGTTATTTCATTAGCAATGGCCTCACTTGCACTAAATTATGCCATATTTGAGTTTTTTCCAGGTGTCTGTTAATCCATTGAGGTACTGGCAGGGAATTAAATCCCAGATTTAAAACGTGTGTTAACATTATAAATAGACACTCCCTGCTGACAATGATACCTAATCAACAGCCAACTCTGATATTTCTATAGTCCAAAACATAGACAAATCTTGATTTTTCACCAAAGGTAAGATGTGTTGGTGAAGATACACAATTGATGTGACATACAGGGTAGCATGTAGCATAGCAATAAAAAGCTATTATCTAGGTGGGTGGACAGGCTGCTATGAAACAACTGAGAGTAGAACACAATTAAATTAAAGATTATAAGTTCTATGACGAGTGACATTGATTATCATTAGCTATGACATCAAGAGGATTGCGCAACTTAAAGGGGGAACAGCTGTATCATGTAGCATGTTTAAATCATGTCTGACAATATTTTTTACTTAGTTATAATAAACATTTAAATAATTCAAGTTATCAAAATAGACAATTTATTGTGACTTTCCCAAAATGCAAAACCAACATTTCTAAACCTCTGAATCATCAAAACAAACCAACTCACAAAAAATTTTATCAAGTAAAGGTTTTGCAAAATCATAATTCTAAATACATTCTTGATACATTTAAAGAGGGCAGCACCTTCTACAAAGTCTCCTTTTTTCAGCATGAGTTCAGTTTGGTTCCTTGCAGTATAATCTTTGACGCAAACAAACACACGTCCTGGCACTGCTTCATACAGCCTCTTTTTTGGATAATTGAAGACTGGCGTAAGTGTAGGAGTATAGGGCGATCCTCTACCTAGCATGGCAACAAGACATGTATGGCATAAAGTACATATTTACATGATTTAGTACTATATTATAGTACATACTGGTATTCAATTTATTAGCAAATGTGACTGGGAAAACCTTGAACAATTTTTTAGGGAGGGGGAAGGGTAGGAGATGGGGTATTGTTTTTCAACAAAAAAAAGTGAAGAGATGAATTAAAAGTCATATCATGGTACTTCTCTATAAATTCCCATTCAATCTGAAATAACAATGAGAAAGTAAAATCTCTGAAGAATAAACTGCATGTTAATTCCAGAGGGGTAAATGCTAGAAATAATCTGCACATGCACGATGCACTTCCATATTCCTAAAAATTAAAACTGTCAGTTTGTGACTGCCACCCATCTTGGATTACCAATGTATGAAGTATGGCCACTTTTGGCCAAAGATGTCAAAAGTGAACCCTCCTGGAATTTTTCAAAAAGTGAACCCCCTTGGCAAATCCTGGCTACGGGCCTGGTACAGTATCACAGTAACATGATAGTATATATTAAACGTATACTGGATGATCAGGAGCTGGATATGGCAGAATATATATTCGAGAAAAAATATTGGGCGAGGCGGCAGCCAGCCCAATGTTTTTTCGAGGATAGGTATTCTGGCAATATCCAGCTCCTGATCATCCAGTATTTGTTTTATTATGCACTTCCCAATCAAAGTTAAGTGGAGTACTTACTTATTTCATCCTCTTTTACAGGCTTAAACTGTGGTTTAGTTGACATTATTTTGACATTTATTTATTTTTTCTTTCAAAACTCAGACGACTTCCGGCCAGTTTATTCGCTACACTGGACAAAAATATTTGCCCCGGGAATTTAATTTTTATTTATTCGAGACGTTCTTGCAGAATTATATGTAACTTTTGAATGATAAGGGTAATTGTGATTGATTAAGTGCATTTTTTTCTTCTATTTTCCGCCAGTTTCAGATGTAAGCTTTAAGTAGTACTCCTGTTATTAAGAAATAAAACTCTGAAGTGGGAATGTTGCAAAAACATTGAAAAAAAAAATATTCGATCCTTTTTCTAGAAAGGGTCAGATATTAAAAAAATATCCGGCAGTTTTCAGAAAAGAGCAGAGTATTGCCAAATTAAAAGCAACTAAGAACCAATCAAATTTGAGTATTTTAATGAGGTGCATAATAATGATACTGTTATATATTAATATTATATGGAAATACAGATGCAAGGGTATCAAACCAATAGTTGAAATTGGAGTCATGAACGTGACTAGCTACTGAAACTTCCTGGTAATCAAAATCTTATATTATTAGCATTTCTTAGAAATTGTTGCATTGACTAATTAAAAGTACATTGTATTACATTGTCTATGAACTCCCGCCCATATATGACCTGCCTGGAAACATATTTGTCTGAATAAAATAATTGCAAAACAATTACAGGGATCATGTATGGATGGCAAATTATAAGGAAGTCATATCTTTGAAAATAGGTATTAACTGTCCATAAATTGCATTGCATACTACCGGATTTTCTTGCATATACGCCCCCCTAAATTTAGGGCCATGGGCCAAAAATCGAATGTAGTACGCTTATACGCCCATGGGTCTATAAAAAATGACTATTTATTGATTTTTTTCAATAAATTCAAGAGTATTTTGTCACTGGCAGATCGTTCTGTCATTACTTTGTTTCAACATTAAGTTCAACGCTGTGCCGTAAGTGGCAGTGGTGGATCGTTCTGTTGTTACTTTGTTTCAACATTAAGTCCAAGGTTGTAGGTGACATTTCCTTTATAATTTTTACAAAACATGCGGTAGGACTATAACAGTAGGTACGGTAGTCCAGTACTAATAAAAAATATATATATACTAAACCATTTTATTCATCAGCTCTTCTCACCTTTACGCCCACTGGGCCAAAAATCGAAAGTAGTACACTTATACGCCCATGGGCGAAAAATAAGAGGTAAAATAACAGACGAAATTACCCCTTCTTTCAGTTATAAGCCCAGGGCTTATATGCGAGTAAATCCGGTATACATGATTCTTATAGTAAATGATGATTAACAGTTTTGAAAAACCTTGAATGCAATGTAGTACATGGTGACATATATAGATGTCCTACCTGAGGTAGAGCCTGTGCTAGATATACTGAGGGATCTGGGTGATTCACTGTTGTAACCAGAGTACATAACTCCGCCTGGGCCTGTCAAGCCTCCCCCTCCTCCTGAGTATGACGAACACTCAGACAGGTTACCAGTAGAGGGGTACATAGGTAGGCTTTGATGGGAGTCGTTTCTCGGAGTGCGTGGAGTATGTTGTGTGTAAGGATCTGAGTGGTTATCGGGTAGGATACTCATCCTTGGGTCACTGCGAGTACGGGACATTGTGGCTACACTGTAACGTCTTTTTGGGTTTAACTTTGGCGCCACTCGAAATGGAACTGAAAGAAAAAATAAATTTTGTCCTTGAAAATTCTATGGATAAAATCGAAATAATGTTTCACAGGAATATTATGATAGGGAGTAAAGCTACATGAAGTTGATCAAATTACAACTGGACCTAATGTTGCAACTATTCTCCTCATTCCTTTATTTTTCTCAATTAAGCGAGTAAATACTACAAAGGAGAAAACCAATCCCTTAAGACCAAATTTCTACATGTTCACACATTTTGACATCTAATGAACATTTTGTTTTACTTACCAATATCTTCATCTCTATATGATGCAATCAGATCAGCTAACTCTGTGTTCCCTGCAATTATCGCAACCTGGTGAGGAGACTGATTGGCGTAGTTTAGTACATCTCGGTCACATCCTCTGAACATTAATAGTCGAGCGCACGACTCCTGGAATATCAAAAGACACAATATTATTAGAATATGACAACAGACAGGATATTATGCAAAAATGAGAATAAGACGTAATAATATGAACAAAGCCAGGAATTTCATGAGTAATAGTATAGGCATAAGGTGATTTTCTCAGTTGTTTTTACCAAAATGGCCTATTGTTTTGAGAAATTTTGAAAATGTTTTCATGTTAAAATTATATTTTCTTTTATTTCGGCAGTTGTTTTCAATGATTTTGACCCGTTGTTTAAAATCTCACTGAAACCCCTTCTGACACAAGGACACTATCTTCTGTCTTCAAAATCATTGAAAACAACTGCCGAAATAAAAGAGAATATCATTTTAACATGAAAACATTTTACAAATTTCTCAAAACAATAGACCATTTTGGTAAAAACAACTAAGAATGCATTTACAGTGTACATGTACAGTAGTTCAAAGTCCTTTTTTACTTCCCAATAAGTTAAATGAGAGAATATTTTTGAACCAATCCTCTTTACTGACCATTGTGAGAGTAATAACTGATAATAGAACACCTATATACTGTATATGCAAATATCCT